CCCCATCCTTGATCTGCCCCCTGTACTCCCCGACTCCGCCGCCCATCCCCAGTGTGGTGTTTGGCAACAGTAACGGCCTGGCGGTGGTGGACTACATCCAGAAGACGGTAGTACTCAACTTATCGACGGTGGAACTTTACGGCTCCAACGACCCCTACCAGAGACAGCCGCGCTCGCCAAGAAAGACACGGCAGCCTTCTGGAGGTAATGAGGATAAAAGGATAAGAAGGACAAAGCAACAGAAAAAGAGAGATTGTTTTACACTTTTAAACCAAAGACATCAACTCAAGTCCATACACACTAAGATGCAGTATCTAAGGAGCAAGTACCACTTTTATTTGATGCAATTGGTGCAAGCATATTTAAAACTCCTTGAGAAGAATCTGCCTTGTAGGTCAGTTGGACATTATATATCAGGGAGTGTGCATGTGTTAGTCACAAATTAATTTTCATTGAACATCGGTGGCCTTTTGGTATCATATTCTTTGCTCTTATTATTGCCTATTGCTTGCAAATGTTCAGCTAGAAAAGTAATTAATTTTGTGGCACTGCTTATCTGTTCTTTCGGGCCCCAGCAGCCCAGATTACTTGTGTTTGAAACAAGAATACTGCACATATTTTTTTTATTCACTTCTCTTTTGTCTTTGTCTGAATCTCTATCACTAAGCTAAAATGTTGTCTCAGCATCTAACCAAGTCGGACCATGATCTGTAAATCCATGCTTCTATCCAGAGATAGCTGTAAAAAAAAAAAAAAAAAACGACGCTTAGGTTCCAGTGTGAATGGAGCCTAATATAGTTAGACAAACACACGGCAGGTTTAGGGATTCTGGGAATAGAGGGTAAAATTGCAGCAGTTTATTGCAGAACAACTCCTGGGATGCACTTGGGAGCGAAATCAGATTTTATATTCAAGCTTAATTTTCAGCAAAGGTCTGGATAGGAATTTGAATCAGTCTCTCTGAGTGAATGTTATGATGGGTTTGTGCCAGTGAAGCCTTCTAATGATGATTACTTAGACTCCAGGTTCAGCGTCCCTGAACTCATCCGTAAACTGATCCAAGTATAAGAGTGAAAGAAGTCACAGAAAGACACACGTTGCTTTTAAAGAATGCTGCATAACACATTAACTTTGTCTGTGTCCATGTACTTCTTCCTTCTCATTCACACACACGCGCGCGCACACACGCACGCACACTCTTGAGCCCATCCCTTTAACAAACATTGCCACTGCAGCCTCGAAGTACCATTGATAGATTACGAGATGCTTTCAGTATGGACACACTGCCACCTTGTGTTAGAAAACAGCAGCACAGCTACAAAAAAGGGTGCCGCAGTGTCATCATGATGTACTGCCCATACTTATGCAGGAGTCTGACGGATGAACTGATAAACTGTGTGCATGTGGAAGCTGAGGGATCACATAGATGCCACAGGTACACACCAACTCATGTTTGCACACACGTAAATGCCGACCAATACGCAAGCATGCGGGCATGAAAATACGCGCAGAGCATCTGGTGTCACTGACTGGTGAGCAGTGGGCTGGCACCTGTCACAGCTTCGCGAGCGTGAGCAGTAATCAGGCGTCCAGCTGTGTTTCCGTGCGAACAGGGGGATGTTGTCTGCCTGGCTTTCTGCCTGGCTTTCTGCCTCACAGGACATTGTCACACACACACGCATTTATTCACAAACATAGGAATTAGTTTAAATAGGGTGAAGAAACATTTCAAATGAGTTAAATCTTCTTTTTTAGAGTGTCTATTGCTTTTGTGTTTGTCAGTTTATGCGTCATCCATTTGTACATATAGTACAGTCCAGGCCTTTTTTAAATGGACTTATTGTAACAAATGGAAGTGCCAAGGGCCTGGAATTAGTATTTTTTTAAGTCTGACCCAAAGAACTAGGGATTTAAATGTGGTGTACATATTACAATAAGAGCTGAAATTGAACAAGCTGCTCTCGTTGTAGGCTTTAAAGAGGATGTTAAATGAAGGAGTCGGACTCATCGGCTGAAGATGTTCTCCCTGATGCGTTTGTGAATGATCTTGACAAACAATTTGCAGTTGACATTTGTTATTTGTGTCTTTTAATGTCTAATGTATTTTTTTTATGTTTGTTTGTGTGAAACTCTGTTAACTGCGCTGTCGCCTGTCTTGGCCAGGACACTTTTAGATAAATAGATTTTTTTTACATCTCAACAACTTTCTTTCCTGGTTAATTGAAAAATAATTAATCTTAAGTGAGAAGTGAGTTGTTATTTTAATAAACACAATGTTGCATTTAACATAGTTTTTTTTTAAATTTACAATGGCTTTCCTAAACTCCTCTCCTAAATAATCAACATAGTTTACAAATGGGCTAAATGACCTACTTTAAATAATTATTTCCCTTACTTGTCTCTGTTTAAACAGTATGTTAAGCTAAGGAATAAAAAAAGCAGTATTTATGTATTAAGATTAGAGCCAGTTTAGGATCACTAACAGCCCAGATTCAAGCCCCCTAATGAACCGGTATGGTCTAGTCCTATCTCAGATAAACATCCTTTAATCCCAGTTGATATCACTGTAGATAAAGTAAATAGAGTAATGGGCTCACATGTATTTAATAATCATGGACTTGCTTTATTTTTATTCCATGTTTTGAATTGTGTGATCTCTCCTGCAGGTTTGTGTGACATCAACGAGGGCTCAGCGACGTCAGAGGACCGCTGCAAATCCCCTACTTCAGGTAACATGTCCTTCAGCGTCTTAAGACAGGAAATCTCAGAGTTATATAGCAGCTTGAGGCTTTGTGTCATTTAGATGAAAAACACAAACAGTGAACCAGTCAAATATACGTCTCTTATACCGTGCTTTTAAATGCAGGAGGAGCTTTGTTAAGCGGACCAGATTCATGTTTCAAAACAGCCTCTTCTTTTAATAGTGCTTTATTGAAATGGTGGCTCATCAAACTGGAACTATTCAGAAGGGATTCTTGTTGAAGCGTAAAATTGTCTGCCTGTCAATTTCATTCTCCCTCAGTCTTTAGAAAAGCACTGTTTGAGTTTATTACCATAAGTTTATTGGTTTCTGGGAGTATTTTCCCATTTGTGCATGCATTCTTTTACCACTTTGCAGAGTTCAATAGGCAGGAATAAATAGTTTTAATCTGACGTGGGCTCCTGGAAAACTAGGATTTGGCTGTAAATGCATCTCAGCTCTGTGATGTCAAGTCAGTGGGGAAACCTTAGAATTAAGAATTAAAGAAATTTTAAAACAAAACTCTGCAATGTGGTAGAGAAACCTATTTATTAACATTAATCAGCGGTCAATTCAAATAGTAAAAGTTCAACCTGAAGGGGCCTCAAGTATTCTTACATTTTCATTCTCTGCATGATTACATGATTATTAACAAAAGCTTCTGCAGGTAAACAGTATATTTTATACTAACTGTAAGATTATGTGATTAACAATTCGACTTGATTTGAGCAGGGAGCTTCTCTCAGTCCAAGATCTGAAGAATGTGGTCAGGTGCATAAAACTGAAGCAGACCTGGCCTTCCTTTGTCATATTAAACAGTTGTCATATCAATCAATATGACATAAGGACAGTTTGAATAAACACTTTTGAAACATTCATAGCGATGTACTTTGAGTTTTGCAACAGTAAGATTGTCTGATGCTCCTTTACTTGCCTCCCTCTTAATCTGCATCGTTAGAATTTCAGCAGAAGGGCTTGAAGACAGAACAGCCCAGATCCATCTCATTAGAGCTAACTTTGCATTAGCACACCGAAAAATAAGGAGCTTCTTAAAAAGGTCAGACAGAAAACAAATCTCAAAGTCTGGAGTCCTGCTGCTGTTTTCAGGTATGATGCCTGTCCCAGCCTCCCACGTCTGGTGCCACCAGACTGTGGTCTGATACATCTGTCTGCTCTACATTATTCATAGGACAGTCTGAGAGATAAGATTGCCTTTCTGCACAAAAAATTCTGCCTTGACAAGAGACCAAGGATAAGCAGTTTTCTTTCCTTCGGGTTACCAATGAAGTTAACCATTGAAAGTAAAAGACCTTATGCATGATTCTTTTCATCTAGAGCCACCTATCAAAAGGACTATGAGAAGAAATGAATCACTTTATGTTGCCAATATGTGAAACGATTTTAACATTACTGAGCACAACAAAGCATTGTTTAGCCGAGACAATCTTAGGATTTGACTTTGATGTGTGCTTCAAAGAAGCTTGACATTTTTCTGAACTCAACACCAGCAGTATACAAGCTAATGTCAATAACAATGGCCTCCCACATGAGCACAGAGTCCAACACAAAGAACATACATCTTTATTTAAGTTTACTTAGTTTATTTAGTGTTGTGGCAAAATGGCATTGTGACAAATATGAGGGGAAAACTGGGGTCAACATTGACAGGGCTTTCCTTTTTTGTTCTTTTTAAGCTAGCATTAGCGTGCCTGTGCATGCAGGCTAATGTAGCAAAACGGTCTTAATTGGATAACCTTAGCTATTGAATCAAGACTCTTAGTTCTGGTCTGGCCTGGTAATTTGGTTAGCTTGCTTGCTTTGAAAATAACTTAATTAGCTTAACTTTCGTAGCAAGCAGTGTCGTTTTTTTTTTTTTTTGTTAATGGTAGATATTGCTGTGTCTGAAATCACTCACTTCACACTATATAGTCAACTATATAGTGAGTTTGCCATTTTGTGGTGCTGTCTGGATGTATAGTGAGATTTATAGTGTTTTCAAATTATTCACAAAGTATCCAAACTAAGCATTACATACCATCATGCATGGCGCTAAGGGAAGAAACAGACAGCAGTGACAAGAACAAAGTGCTATTTTTAGCCACTTCTGGTATTAGAGTCTTCCCATGACCAGAATTGTTTTTCCTTGACACTTGGCAGTTCTGTCATATGGTTTTCCTTCAGATGAGTCAAACCACAAATATTTTAACCAGCATTTTAAAAAAATAACAGGCCATTCATCAGCTAAAACAGGGATAGGTTTTGTGTATAGTAACAAGACAGAGGGTGTTTTTGACTTCACATTTACTTACCTTATTTTTTCCCCCTTACACCCCCAAAAGTGTTGATGACAAACAGCAATCTGCAACAATTCTACAATGGAGGTGGTAGAGGAGGTAAGATGGGCCACATTTTTTTGATGACAGGCTGTTTACAGTAGGAAGGAAAAAACTCCAGACGTGTCACCCTTGTCTCTGTCCTTGGTGTCATGGTCACCACAGCGGGAGGAATAGGAATAGATTATGGTGAGCCAAAGTCAGCTTCTGCTCCTCCATCTTTCAATTCTCACTGTATTCAGTTTCAAACAAAGGTAGTTTATTTCTTGGCCAAAAAAAACCCAAAAGACTCATATTGTTTGCTGAACTAATTTTTTGTTACAAAAGTACAAGGTTTGAAGACTGTACACCGAGAGCTGAAAGCTTGTGGAGCAGAGGCTAACCGCTGCCATTTTTATACACATTCGATACAGCTTAACGACCTTAGACATTACTGCATGCTACATGTACGTAGCACGAGTGTCATATTGTAAATGTGCCTGCGTGTGGTATTTGTTCATGACCTCGTACAATAGATTCCCTCTGTACTTCATGAGTTACATGATTGGTATTCTATGTCCATAGTACAGTATGGAGTGAAGAGCAACTCATTTGTCCAAATGTGTCTTTGTGTATCTTTAGTGCGTCATTGAAAAAGATAATTGCCTATCAACCACTGATGATCGGAACAGTCGAAAGTGATATGTTTACTTTTTTCGAGATCTTAGCTCCTTCTGGATGCTGTTGACAATGATATGGTACCAAATAATGTTTAAGTTTTTATGTGGTCCAGACCAGCACTTCTCAAAAACCAAAATCATGGAATGTTTTTAACTAGCCCAACAACATCTGTTAAATATAAACCCAAGACATGCTCAAATATTTTAAGCTATAATGTCAACATATTATTGACCTTTTTATTAGTTTTGCTTCACCTTGGAAGGCAGAGAAGTTTCTTCTGTTATCTTATTGGTTCATCAAGTTTGGTGACTTCATTTAATTCCATATATCGCCACAACCAATCTTATTCAAAGTTCAGGTCTTATTAACTTCTGAAATAATGTCTATGAAAATATATTTTAAGGAAACGTTTACTTATACCATTTCCAGTAGCTGAAATGCCTCTGATCTCACTGAAATAAAGGATCTGTATCTGCAAGTGAGCCGGTACTTGCACTATACAATTATGTGTTAGCTTTGAAAAAATAATTGGAATATTGGAAATATCTGGTGGCAGATAACAGGTTGCACTGTTCTGCCACCAGATATTTCCGTATATCTATTATCACTGCCACTGGTGATCGCTGTTTAAGAGAGTATACCTACCTATTCATGTGACAATAGCCATGAGCAACTGTTCTTTCAAGCAGTACTTGTAAAGAAAGACAGAGTAAGAAAAATATCCGATATTCATTATTAGACCATGTAATCATTTTAACTTGAATATATGTGTACATATGCTATGGAGCTTGTCCAAAAAATAAGTTGTAAAGCGAATCGTTATACGTTCAAATATGCCTCTTTCACAAAATATGTCATTGTTATAATAAAACCATCCATCCATCCATCTATCCATCCGTTCATCCATTTTCTTCCACTTAACCTGGGAGAAGCAATTATGCGCTGACATCCCTTCGTACAGTAATATTTTCCAACATTTCCTTGGGGATCCTGAGGTGTTTTCCCGGGCAAGGTTGAATATATAATATTTTCTCCAGTGAGCTTGGCTCTTCCCTGGGGTCTCATGGCTGTCAGACTTGCCCATAAATCCTCCAAAGGGAGGTGAAGAGGAGACATCCTTATCATATGCTTTGCTCTAGGCTCCCTCTAGTAGTTACTACTAAAAAGTCATGACCATAGTAAGTAAAACTTTATTTATAAAGGACTTTTAATACAGTCAGTTACAAAGTGCTTCACAAATAAAAGCGATCAAACTAATCATAAGGATAGAAAATGTACATTAATAAAACAGATTAAATTTGACTGATTTTTAAATAAAATCAGTCAAAAAAAGATACTTAAAACACACAAGAGAGGATTTGGGAGTTACATGAAGAAGACAAGTGTTCACCCTCGTATGCTTGCATGAGGAATATCATTAGTGACCCTTTACAATGCTGTCTCAGAGTTGGAATTGTCAAAGATGTCATGGCCTTAAAAAAATGTTAGTAGTTGTTCAGAAACAAGTTTTTTTAGGCAGAAATGGAAGCTTTGATATTTGTCTGTACTTATCTAAATGTGCTGGATGTAGATAGGTTTCTTTAGAAGTGGGTGAATACAAGCAATTTTAAAATAATCAAGTAAAGAGCTAGATATACAGTAAGTGAGCAGTTGATGTCAGTTTTTGTTTATTACCACTGATCAACCCGGAGAAGTAGGCAGCTCTGGTATCTTTTAAATTTTTTGGTCAAATTTAACAATAACTCCTTCATGCGGAGGTGGTGAACTTTATGGCTTTTTCCAGATATGTTTAGCCTTTCTAAATTCCCTTCTGGGTTGCACACATTATTGAACCAGTTAATCTGGTCATTAATATTGAGTTAGAGAGGAGTGCTATTCTCCATACTAGAAAAGTAGGTAGAGAAAATGGATAAAGACTGCTCAGAAAAAATGCGGAAGTGAAATGTAAGTTTTTGGGTTATCTTGGTAATGAATGAAGAAGCACACAAAGTAATACATTTATCGTTGGATACAAAATCCAACTCATTCAAAGAGTTGAGGGTCATACCCGGAGTAAAAACAAGGTCAAGAGTGTTCCCACCATTGTGTGTTGGCCAGAGACATACTGTACAAGATTAAAATATATTGAATATTTAAGAAATCAGAGGCAAATGAGTTTGAGGGATTTTCGATATGAATGTTAAAATCTCAAGAAATAGCTTTATCAAATTGAAGCACATTAGTTTGAGAATTTATGAGAAAACTAAAATTTGAATTATAAGCTTTATAAATAATTCCACAGCAAATGAGGGTAATCACACACAATTTTAAAATAAGTGATTTAAAACTGTTAATGGAACTGAAACTGAGTGGAACACAAGTGAAGTTATCCTTTAAAACAGCTGCACCCCAACATGGCCATTTAACCATGACTCATTTAGGTAAGTATGGCCGATTGAGCAGTGCTCCACTAGAGGACAGCACATCCCTGGTTTAAGTCAAGTCAAGTGTTGGTGAGGAAGAGGAAATCAAGGTTTTGGGTTGTAATGAGATTGTTAAGAATAAAGAATTCATTAGCAACAGTGTGTCAATTTAAGTGCAAAAGACAGCTGGGCTACTGGAATATGGGTCTTAGCTTAATTGGAATTTTTACAACAGATATGAATCAAATTATTTGACATGGCAGTTGAAGCCATGGTGTGTGAAAGCCTAGTTCCAATTCTAAGAGGAATGGCATTTGGATCGATGATTGTTCAATGCTAACGCTGCACACATTCATCCGTCCAAGACATAATCCATTTGACCCTAACTCATGAGACAATACCATGAGATGCTTTAACACCTTTGCTTTAGGCAAACATTTCCCAACCAGAGGGAGCAGTCAACCATTTTCCTGTGAAGCATTAAGGCTTCAGACTTAGAAATACTGACATCTCGAATGCTTCATACTTGGCTACAAATGGCCCCAGTGCCTGCTGGATGTCACAGTTTGATGAAGACAACATAACTCCATCTGTTAAAGGCCGAGATACAGTTCTGGGCTCCCCAAAACGGATACTGTTCTGCCCCTGGTTGCACCCTAAAATCCTGTCCATAAAAACTACTCTCAGAACCCATAAATGGGGTCAACCATGTTGAATGGCTGATCTCAGTTCTTATGACCATTCCGTAAACCTTGCAAGACTTAAGAGGTGGTCTTGATCTGCATTATTCCTCCTGTTAAACTGGCCTCATTCCAATTACCCTGGAATAATCTTTGCCTGCAAGGCTAAGTTGCGTGATAGCCCAAATGTTGGAGCACACTCTCTTGTCCTCCTTTTCAGAAATAGGAACTGCCAACCTGGTCTAACATTTATACGTTAGGTTTCCTCTGTAGCTTTGGACAAAACCTGTGATCTTGGATGTATTGGTTTAGTTGAGGAGTTCCTGAAGGTGTACTGTATTTGCCTCGCCTCCTAAAGACAGCCAAGCCCTCTTACCCACTCCAGAGATATCTAAAAGTTGCCTGAACCTCCACGGGCCAACCGAATGTCTTATCCATAGCCTTCCAGAATCTCTTCCACACCAGGTTCCTTTTCTACAATCAAAGAAGTCATAACCATGCTAGCCACCCAGTACCGATCCACCCCAAGGAGACCCTTGGGCTAACCAAGTCCTGAAGGCCAACTTCTTCAAGCTAAACACTTCCTACACTGCTGATGTCCACCAACAGGTTTTGTTGCCACAATGGCAGCCACAAGTCCAAGCATCTACTTTTACAATAGAGGCTCTGATTTTGGCCCTCTCAGATTCCTTGTCCAAAACCTCCTCCTGGATGCACCACAATAATTCTTCTCGGAGAAGCATCTAGGGTGGAGACGTCTCATCCTCAGGTTACCTACATGTTTAAGTTTACCAGGTCAGTCTTGCAGCTCCCGTCAAAATCTGATCCTACTCAACACCAGGTGGTAATTAGTTAACAGCTCTGCCCCTTTTATACCTGAGTGTGCAGGTCTGACAGCTGCATTTGGAAATATGTGACAACATAGATATCCGGCCTACGGTGTTGGGGTACCAGGTGGACTCAACCTGTGTTCTATCATTGTGTTTGGCATGGCAAACCCATGTTTAGCCCAGAAGTCAAGTCTAGGAAATAGTTGTTGTCCTATACAAGACAAGCTGATTCTATTCTGACTTTATTTTGACTGCTTCAAATGGGGATTATGAATTGTGTTAAATGTGGACTGTTGTGGGACACTGGGACTTGTTCGCCTTTGGAAACCAAACCACAGATTATTGACCCCGGCAACTCAGCTCCAGGCTTCACAGACATTTTTTCAAGATTATTTTTGGGGCTTTTTGCCTTTATTTGGACAGGACAGCTGAAGAGAGTCAGGAAATGTGGGAGGAGAGTGTGGGAAGACATGCACCAAGAAGCATCAGGATCAGGTGTCAAATAGCATCAGGATTGGGTGGAACCTGCAAACAGTGCAATTGGGTGCCTGCTCTACCAACGGAGCTAAACCAGTGCCCTGATGTATTATTTCAGTTTCTGCATAATCAACTTTCTTTTTGGCAGAAAGCATTTCTTTCTGTTACGGACTGATTATTGTGTTTTGCCAACAAAATTACACGTTTCTTTTGTATTAGCTGTGACAGATTTTGGTGCTTCATAAAGTTATTAATGAAAGAAGGGGAAACAAAACAAGTCTAGAATGCAGACAGTAACAATCAGTAGTCTACCTCAGTAGCTTGACCATCTCTCCACTGTCTTCTTTCATCTCCCGTTCAGCATTTTCTGTTTCCTGTTATCTTCTTGTTCTTGGTGCATGCTACTGTGGCATGAGGGTTCTGAATGGCTATGCAGTTATGGATGTGTCTCACTATACCAGTCCTCTTTTTCAGGGCAATGTGCAGTCACAGGTCATCACCTTTGTTATGTCTTTCACAGCATGTCTCTGTGATATACAAGGTTGTCTCTGAGTCCTTACACTGTGCCTTCTCCTGTCTAAAGCATTTTGGCTCACCTAGTCAATGAAAAAATAGCCCCCCTGGCACATGTTCCACAGCTTTTTGTCCTTGTATTTCTAGCTTTGTGCACAATCCTAGCCCAGTGCTAGGTATCTAGCTTTGCATGGCATCGTGTGTTAGCTTAGATGTGTCTTTGTAAAGAGGGATGTTCTCTTTTTTCCAGCAAAGATGTCACGGAAATTAAGCTTGCCTACTGAGCTAAAGCCAGACTTGGGTAAGCCCTGACTTTGTGTCTCAGACAATTTGTATGGAAATGCAGTATATCTTTCTCACTTTAACTGGACTCCACCACATCCCATCAGTCCAGTTTCATCTGGTTTTTAGCCTCAAAATTGGCAAGCTGTGTCCCCTAAGTTTGCATGAAACAAAAGTAGCACTGATCTGACCAGAATTTAAATCCACTTAGCTACATCAAAGCATTGGAATTAAATTCATTGTGAAATTTTTCTGCTGTGCTTTGAATCCCACTTTTTGACCTTGGTGGGAGCTCTTCAGGTCAGTGGTGCTAGGCTTAACTATGCACACTTCATCTATCGGTAAAGCTTTCTTTAACTTTTGCAGCTTTCTCTCTCTCTCTTTTGTGTTCTTCATGTCTTTTCTTTATTTTGTTGTCTGATTGGTCCCTTTAAAATTTCCCCAACGGAATTATTTTCCCTTTTGAACAAAGAAAATGCCATTTCCTTCTTCAGAGGTTTACAAGTATCAAAAACACTTCTTGATCTATAAGGGTCTAATTAAATGTGCGAGTGCCAACCCACGTAATTGTTCTAGTGTCATACACATTTAACCAAAGTGCCTGATAGCTGGTTATGATACTCTAACAAAATTGATGAACTAGTTTCCAGGTAATGCTGCTCTGTCAACCAAAAAAACATGAGATGGGATGATAAAGATAGACTACCACTCAATACATTTTATAGATAGGCATTGATACAAGACTGGTTACATCTTAAGATTGCTGTAATATTTAACACCTGATGTATCTAACAAAAAAGTGATTTACTAACACGTTTTATAAAGCTGTTTTGTCTTTTATCATTTTATTTTGAATGTAAAAGAAAGCGTCAATATCTGTGTTGTCTGTCTCGTGTTTTTCTGCTTAGCGGGTGCTTTACCTCTCTCCGTTTTCTCCTCACTGTCCTCCTGTCTGTATGCCCGCCGCGGGGTGCCAACCCATTAGACCACCGGGATAATTCATTCAGCCGCTCACGCTCCTCCAGCGTCACCAGCATCGACAAGGAAGCTCGAGAGGCCATCAGCTGCTTCCACTTCTTTGAGACCTTCGCCCGCAAGGGGGACAGCACTTTGACACCCTGCCTGTATGTGGGCACTTCCCTGGGAACCGTACTGGCTTTAGCTCTCACATTGCCTCCTGCTGGGGAGCAACGGCAACTGCAGCCAGTTATTATTTCACCTACTGGTGGGTAATGGAATGGACAAAATGCAGTTCAAATTAACCAATTACAATGTGCTAAGTGTCCAACAATTCCTGTTCCAAATGTTCTCCTTCCATTCTTCAGGCATGTTGGTGCGATTGAAGGGTAGCAACTTGCGGATGGCTTTTCTGGACTCTACAGGTGCCCTGCTTCCCCCTGCCTTTGAGCCTTGGTTTGAACCCAATGTAACGGCAGATGGTGAAGAAAGAGAGAAGGTTCGAAAGCGCCGGCCCGTCTCAGTGTCCCCTTCAACCTCCCAGGACCTCAACGAGAGCCAGTATGCAGTGGTGTGTTCAGAGAAACAGGCCAAGGTCCTTTCCCTCCCCTCCCAGACCTGCATCTATAAACACAGTATCACAGAGACCTCCTTTATCCTGCGGGCAGATGTGGTGCAAATGAGCCAAGGCGTGTGTGTGGCGTGTTTCTGTGCCAACGGACACATCATGACCCTCAGGTGAGAGAAATGTCCATCTGCGTCCAGCAGAAATAACAGGGATATATTAAAAAGCATCAATCAAAGTCAGTTCGAAAAAGTGTTGCCACCTTCTCTTGTGCCCTCTTTGTCCTTAAAAGAAACAATCCTGGAGGGTAATTATGTTTTGTGAATATTTGAGTATAAAACACTTTTAAGTACAGAGGTGTTTGGATATGAAGGAAGTGCAGTGAAAACTAGCTAACAAAAGTGCTAGGGTAGGTCACAACAGAGATGGAAGCTTGGCAACAATATGAGCCTTCTGAGCAAACAGATGGACTTTAGAGAACTGGAATTAGGCTGTAAAAATGTCTATTGTCTATTAGAAACTTGGAATCAGCTCAGTGTTTAAGAAAGAAAGTCGAATTTTCCCGTGTTGTTCAAACAAAGTCTAGACAAATTTTAGACCTCATTACCACACGCACCCATCATAAGAGCTAAAACCTTCAACCATACACCCCCACTAAACTTTGAACAAAGTTTGACAGTACCTACAAATTTACAGGCATATACACGCACACACACATGCAGACATAGCATGGTTATTTTTATTTAGCGTGTTGAGGGGTTTTTGTTAGAAGGGTTTATTAGTCTGTCACTGATCCTCATTAATCTTCTCTCCCCTCAAGGAGAGAGACGGAAACAGAACATCCATCCATATGGGTGTCTGACAAAGCAAGGGTGTCCTGCTGTCTGCTTGTGTGTGTGTGTGTATGCGTGTGTGTGTGCGTGTGCGTGTGCGTGTGCGTGTGTGTTTCTTGTGTTTGTGTGCCTGTTTAGGAATCACAAGAGTAAGAGAACACTGTCCCTAATGTTTCAGGAGGTTAACATTTGCCATTCAAAACGTTCTCTCCAATGTAGGGATCATTTATCTATCTTTATGTGCTGACCAAGGCTTCATTATAAAAGGCATAAAGTCCTTGTAAGGTTCTGTAGATTTTAAATCACATCCTTCACTGTTTTGTCCCCTGTCTAGTTTGCCGGGGCTGAGACCGCTCTTGGATGTAAACTACCTGCCCTTGACGGACATGCGGATAGCCCGGACGTTCTGCTTCACCAACCTGGGTCAGGCCATGTACCTCTGCTCCCCCACCGAGATCCAGAGGATCACTTACAGCCAAGACATCTGTGAAAACCTGCAGGTCAGGCAACTCAGCCTAATGCATATGGATTAAAGATACTGCATAGGAAAACCTTTCAAAATAAGACAGACAGTTGAGATGAACATGCAAAACAAGTCAAAGTAATAACTTTGGGAACATGCATACTAAGAGCTGTGCATTTGTACACACAGTATAATTGGATATGTAAGGGTAATGTTTGTGTTGATGTTTCAGGAGATGCTGGGCGAGCTTTTTACACCAGTGGAGACACCAGAGGCACCAAACAGAGGGTTTTTCAAAGGTCTCTTTGGGGGCGGAGCTCAGTCACTGGACAGAGAGGAGCTGTGTAAGCCACACCTACACAGGTCAAGATACACATTGGTTCAGTCCTTTGATGTTGCATAACACTTTCCTAAAAAATCTCTGTTTGTTGTTCCTCTTATTGTCCTTACTCAGTTGGTGAGATATCATCTGGAAAAGCATCCCGAAGTCTGGCACAGCACATCCCAGGCCCGGGCGGCATCGAGGGCATGAAGGGGGCGGCCTCCGGCGTGGTTGCAGATCTGGCACGAGCCCGGATAGCATTGGATGAAAGAGGCCAGAAACTGGGCGAGCTGGATGAAAGGACAGCTGCCATGATGACCAGCGCAGATTCCTTTTCCAAACACGCCCATGAGGTAACAGAAAAAGTTTACAAGATTGAGAAGAGAACATGAAAACCCCATTTGACTTCACAGCATGGGTACCATAGCTGCTCAAGCTTATTCACATAAATATACAAGTGCTGGCTTAAATTGAAAGTCTACTGAGCAATTATCTTTGAAGTCTAGGAGACATTAGTAATGACAGACTCATTGTGCTTATATTACCATCAGAGTGAAACACTGTATGTAGTCTTGAATACTGGCTGACCTGCTTCCTATTCAGAAATTAATTCAGAAATAGTATTGTCTATTCTCCCACTAGAGGGCACTCTATGCCCAAGGAATGTTCACATTTATGTTGAGAGGGGACACTTCTATGTCTGTTGTTGGGTTACATGTTTCCTGCAATGTTTATAAAGTGAACATTTGACTTCATCAAATACATTTGTATCCATGTAAAGATTACTTCAGTAATAACAGGTGGATTAACAGCCAATGAGAGACTTGGGTCCATACCATTGGTAGCAAAAACAACAGGATATTATTTTTAAATGATGAACAGTTGATTTTACTCCTGTGTAACTTGTATAAAAAAAGTTATTGTTAGGGTGGTGAACAACATCTCTCTCTGTATTGTAAATGTTAAAGACAAAAGATCTGGAGCATGTACCTTTAGAGTATAGAATATAGCATAAGAAGGCAAACAGTTTTAACTTCAGAGACCAGGCCAAAATCCTGGCGCAGCGCTTGCTTTAAATCTGCAAAATAATCTTGTTTAACTTTTATTTATGCACTTTAGTTAGACCTGAGGTGTCCCTCTAACATTGAACCATGTTCTCACTCCAATGTTTTTCTGTTTCCAGATGATGCTGAAGTGCAAAGACAAGAAATGGTACCAGTTCTGATCCACGACAGGAAAGGAGCAATGCTCCACAGACACCACTGTCATCTTCCGTCCGGCTCATTTGGACTCACCGTGACCCCCCCCCCCCCCCCTCCACCTGCCCATCCATCTGTCCATTCGTCCCATCCCTCCAAGCCTTCTTCGCTGGGACATTTGGGATTTTCTTCCCTAGCACAATGTTAAACACTGTTCTTACCTCAGTCTAAGGGTGGAACTGAGGAGTGGACAGGGGAAAAAAAGGCAACCTCAAAAAGGGAGCATATAAATGGTGTCTTTTTTTTTTCTTTTTTCTTTTTTTACGTTGTCGTCTCTTTGTTTATCTCTGTTCAGCCTCTCCTCCGAGGAAGCCGCCTGGCACACGCACCTGGAGATTTCTTCATTCTCATTTGCCAAAACATCCTTTACTGTCATCCGAGCCTCGAGCCCATTGTGGGCCCAGAGCTCAAACCGATGAACACACAGCTGAAAAGAGACAAAAACCTTAAGAGGAAAACAGACTTTAAAAAAAATTCTTAAAATGTAAAAAGAAAGAAAAAATAATCTAAATACATCATTATATATACATAAATCTAATAAATGTGCAAACGCTGTATCCACTTCCGGGGGGACAAGTAGTAAAGAAAAGGAAAACTTGTGGAGGAGACATGAAGGAAGTGCTGCGACAGTGACGCCTTCTCTATGCAGAGAGTCACAGGGATTAAAGCAACTTACTCCTATGTAAACTGGATACTTCACTTTAGACTCTCCTCTGTATCTTACAGACTTTCATATCGTTACCAACAGTGTGCGTGCGTGTGTGTGTGTGTGTGCTAACTTCTATTTTCTTGCCATTCTCTATTTGTTATTCGTTGGGTTTTCTCTCTGTCTGTATTATTGGAAAATCTCTTATTTTTCTATTGTTGTGAAAGTGGATGATGTTTGATTTGTTGAAAAATCTGTTTTTGTGGCTTTTTGTCTAACAACTCGAGTTTATCTTCTCCTTATGAAAAGGGCTGGAATCTAAATGGAGGGCAAGGATATAAAAGGCATATGTCATTTAGTTCTTACTGACATGGCAACATCAGATTCCTTGAATCTGAACTTAAAGTGTGTCACACACATTATTGTTTACCATGAATTGATCTATGTGATGTTAACCGCCTCTGTCGACTTCTTAATGTCGGACGCTTCCACAGTTTGGCTCTCTCTCTGAGCGTGACTTTGAATGCTAATGTAATCAGTGTTAAATCCACCGATCGGTGAGCCAATTCTGTGGGATTTCAGAGGTTTTCAAATGAGTAAACATCTGTATGGAGACTCAAAAAAACACATGGATAGAAATATCCATGTGTTTCATATATGCAGGATAATAGAAAAAAAGAAAGTGTAAACCTTTAAAGGCATACATCAGAAACACATTTCAGTTCTTTGATTGTCTGTATGAGCAAGTTGTCTGTGTGATTTCTTTGTCGATATTTATTTATTGAGGTGCAAGAAACAGTTGTTTTAGGTGTCAGAAACCTTCATTACCTTGTTTTGACTCCCATGTTTGCAGTAAAGCTCAAATGTGGTGTATCTCTCTGTCTACCAGGCTTTTAAACCTTTATTTGTATATAAGTAAATAGTTTGACAATCTAAGACCAACCGGAAAGTACAACGTTGAGGGTTGCTCAAGCAACAGAAGAGGAGAGAGGCCATATTTTTTCTGACGCCAAAGAGTTGCTTTAAACTTTTTCATTGCATTCTCATTTAACCCATCACGCACAACAGCAGCATATTAATAACAGCTTCTCACATTGGAGTGCAAGCCCAGGATCGAATCCACACAGGACCATTTTCACCCTCATCATCTTTGGAATTTGAAGACATGGAGCAAGTTGCAATGGAACGCAGCCATTTATAGTACTACTGTATCGCATTATGTCATGAAAAATGTAACATTTGGACTAATGTTTAATGTTTCAAGTGGCCTAACTGTTGGTTAAATAATAAGGATGTTTCCTTAAGAAGAAAACCTGAACCATTCCACTACAGCTCAGACGCAACAATATTGACTGTGTTCATCTGTGTGTATGTGTGTATGTCTGGGAATGTGTGTGTGTTTGACTCTGTCTGTCAGGGGGTCGTTCAAGTGATTTAATTTATTTGTTTTTGGTTGGTTAATAATTAATATTGATGTCCTAGTCTCACCAGTCTGTGTCCAGTCGAGTGTATGTCCCACTAACTAAAGCCCCCCTCCCCCCCCTTAATAATAAAAAAAATATAAAAAATAGGATAATGAGCATAAGAGGATGACCTCTGAATTCCAGTTTTTTTTTTAACTTGCACATTTCCAGTCTTGGCACATAAGCTTTGACTCACCTTTGCCTTTGTCTTCTGAGTTCTCTCTTCCTCCAGTGAGTCTTTCATAGACTCTACAGGTTCAACAACAACAAATATGGCCTTCTTTGTGTTAGTGAGCATTGTAGTGTGGTAGCTCTGTCTTTATCCCTCCACAAACTTCAGGAGAATTAGCAAGTTTTGAGCCAGAGGTCATCCCCTCCCCTGAAAAAAACCCTCCTGTATGATGTCTTTCCCTCCGATCCCACTGTTAATTGTGTTTTTCTTTTCTTTTTTTCAATGTTGTTGTTTTTAAATCCATCTCTATGTGATTTGTTTCTCGTCCCTACATTTCAGTATGCAGTATTCTTAACCCGATTCAATCCACATGCTCAAAACAACCAGAGGGAGTCCTGTCTTATATCTGCCGTGCGCCATCTTCTGTCCTGGATTTCACAGTTATCAGTGGGTTGCAGTATTTTTCTCATTGTAGCCAATTTTCTTGTACAGTTTTATGCAACTTTCACATGGATGTTTATGACTTTATCTGCTGCCACAAAAAGTTTAGAAATTCTGTAGATAGAGATTACTGTGCAATGGAAAATAAAAGTGGAAAATGTATTTTTTTTTTGTCTAAAAGTATCTTTAAAAAAAAAAGTAATTGAGTTAAAAATCTGAAGATTTGACTCTGTTCAGATGGGGAAAAGGCTATGATTATACTAACACATTAATTATCGTATGCTCAGATCAGGGTTTGGATGGATTAATTGCTTTAAAGGTTGCCATATTTGGATCTATACACTAGATGGCAGCAAACACACACAGTTGTCTTCATATGAAATTGGGCTCAATCGAGAATAGATGACCAGACAAAACAATAAGAATAGCTGAATCTTAAAAGCCTTGTTTCATGATTAAAGCACACCTACCATGTCACATTTTAATTGATGTTAATTCACATACACATAATGGATTGAGTGTAAAGTGCTCTTTCTTTTGAAATAAAATAACAAGATATTACAATGTTCAGTTTGCATCTTCACTGTGAAAGCTTGCTTTGTTAGCTTGTGGTCTGTTGTGTGTTTTTACTGTGTTTGCTTTACTTTTTTTTTAGAGCAACACAATCCTTTATTGATCACACTAAGTGGTTTCCAAATGTGCTCTCTGGTTTCTTCTAATTCATGACACGGGTGACAAAGTGGTCAGCGGAGCTCCTGAAGGTCAGCCTTTTCCCGGTAATAAGAGATTTCGTTACTTTTTGCTGGTTTTTCTAGCAATTACACACTGGCAAAGTTAAGTGACCTCCCCAATGAAGATTTTTTTGTGTTGTTGTATGCCACTACAAACATAGTAATCATCTTAGAGGCTTTCTCTAGTTTTTCCACTGTATCTCAGTAAAACACTACCATTAGCAACCTAACTCTTGAATCTGGGATACAGTTGTCCTCATCTCAGCCCAAGCTGCCCACTGAGGTCACTGAGTTCACCCAGGACTGTGTAAGCAGTGACTTATGGTGTGGATCAATTACTGCCGGAATGAAAGAGGCTCACAGCTTGCCTGATTTCCTGTAGAAAGAAAGATTTACATACTGGAACCTTCCATTGTGACTCAATGCTTACATGCTTTATAGGTGACTCATGGTAGCCAGAATGTAAACAATCACCAAGACATGAAAATGCCAGACAAACAGGATTAAAGAAATATGGACATAGAATTTTGTTTTATTCTTATGTGGTTACTGTTTTTTTTTTTTTTTTTGCAAATATAACTATTGACCAATGACTGGAGGGATAAAACAGATAATTACTACTTTTTTCCTTGTAGGTATGTAATGATCAATAAAACTAAGCAGATATAGAATATAAATAGTCCCTAGGGCCTAACTGTTTAACTAAGTCTGTAAAATGTCATCTAGTCTGGAAATCGGGTTGAACTACATGAGGAAAACCAGAACTGTGCTCTTTCTTATTGCCAACATATTAACAAGTAATCATGTTCTTCCTCCTTTTTCAAAACAAAAAAGTTTTTTTTAGTTTTTTTTTTACTTGTTTGCAGTATAACGGTTTCTTTAGAAGATTTATGTGCAAAACAAACAGTTAAAATTCATGATTCATTAAGAACATTTTATGTATGTGGAAACTTACACAATAAGGAAGTATTTCTATAGTAAGATATAGAGATAAAAAATGGTTTTGGATCCCCTCCTCCTTCTCTTTCTCCTTCAGTACATAATGAATGGGGTTTGTGGTATCTCATCACTCCTCTTTTACATAAACCAAGCTATCAAACAAAGTGGCCTCATCATTTTATCAAGCACATGAACATGTGTTTTTAATCCAAGATAAGCTTCTGTTGCTGTGAGAGGCTGAGGGGTGAGTTAAAGGAGAGACTCAGACAGAAGGAGGAACATTGGTTAGGCTATGAAAACAACACAGTGTTGATTTGCTCAATTTGGCTGATGCCACGAAAGAGAAGGTCACCGAGGAGAAATGTTTGTTGATGCGTAGTGTTTGAACTACTGACCTCGTGCACACATGCACAGGCACATACAGATATAGGGTAAAGCCATCCAGAGTGCAGCACAGCAAAGGACACGTCAGTGTGGCTGTTGCCGTGGTGACTGAAAGTATGAATGACCTGAGCCATTTCAGCCATGGTAGGAACCAGAATGACACCTGAGGGAATGCACAATGAACAGTTTTAAAGCTGCCTTAGTAACAACATCTGAATGTTTGATGTGTATTTTTCTTTCTATACACTATTTGAGAAGATTAAACATTAAACTGTGTCTTTAAATATCATGAGACAAATATTGTAACCTGTTTTTTTTAATGATATAGCCTAATCTATCATGTGAAATACTGATGCTCCCTCTGCAAAAGAGAGAAAGCAATCCAGTTTCATGACATGAATGAAGAAGAATCTGTTAAATTTTCTACATCTCATTTCTATGGAAGCAGAGAGCAACATGCATAAAAATACATTCTTACTGTTTTAAACTTGCAAGATAACTTTAATCTCCAGAAAACTAGATTTACCTTGTGCTGACAAAATAACAAACCCACTATCAAGAACAACCTAGTCGGTTCTTTTGTTGTTGCTGGCTCAAACTGTCATCTTTGCACATCTCCAAGCCATGATTGATATTTGATTGTTATCCTTTTTATAAATTGAGATCAATCTTATAATTATCTGGAATTATTATTAACCCAGAATCACAAGATAAATGAGCAGTGATTTGTCCACATAACAAAACAATTAATTTGCGATTTCTAATATTGGCATATGAAAAGATGACATCACATTTTCTCCATTTTTTTTTCAAGAGCATATTATGCTTATTTTCTACTTATTAAACAGTCACATTTAAATATCATACTTTATTTTATGATTTTTTTCTTCTTCTCATTTTGATATGTCCAGACATGCATTAAGATAAATAACAAAGCAGACCACTAGTTTATATTTGCTTTTATGTAATGTATAAAATAGACGGCTGATCTTGTAGATAGATTCCACTTTAAATGTATAGGCTTTGTGACTAAATGGATTCTTCTTAAATCACTTCATAAATTATCTTTTTTTTTTCCACAGTTTAAAATTTGCCCTCTAAAACGATTTATCTCATTTACATGACATGTGATCGAAAGCCCTGGGAAGAGTTCAATCCCAACATGGCGGAGTTAAAGTTAGCCAGGAAACAGCAGTCATGTCAGCTTTTTAAAATAGGACAAAAGGGCTAAAACTAAGATTTATTTTTGTTGTCATAATGTGTTGGTTATTTTTTAAAATGACTTATCAATTTATCAGGTCAAAAAGTTGTAAAATAAAAAGTCTCATGCATTTTTAATAGAATTAAATGTAGAACAAGCTAACTAGCTTTGACAGTCAATATCATGTGATTCACTCTACAAGCTGAGATAAAATCAAACGCACCTTTGGCCAGAAGGCTGGACTATTTAAACTTTCGGCTCCCATTTCTCTGTTTCACTGTCTGCCAGATGTAGCACTTAACTAACAAACAATGATTTGTTTCTTTCACAATAAATTCACTTTTTATCCCTGTGCCAGGCATTTAGCATGTCAAAGGAAGCTAACATGCTAGGGCTGCTGTTTTGCTATCGTAGGGCCTTGCTGAAGAAAAAACACATACACCTTTATCTGAAAACCCCGGGTAGTTTATGTTATATAAAAGCCACATTGGATCAAATTCAGCAGGTTTCACAGCTCTGCTGTTATTGCTAGCTAGCGTCCAGGGAACTTTTTTGAGCTGAGTCATCGTTAGCATACCCAAATTGGATTCACCTGTGATTGTACTTCTGAGACAGAGAAAGGTCAAATCTGCCATCATACTGTTATTTAGTGACTTAAGAATAGTTTTTATTTCAAAGTAGGCCTAATAGTTACAGGCTAAGTAAGACTCACTTGACTCAAGCTGGAAGATGGAATTTGTCGGGAGCAAGAGAAGTTGTATTTCATCTGTACCAAGATGCTAACATGACTTCTCGAGGTAAGAAATAGCTAGCTCCCGTTGCTAACGATTGTAGCCGTGTTTTGGCACTTTGGACCATTAAGCTGTGGATGCTGTTGTCTGAATTTTTGAAGTTTGCCTCCAGCATCTGGTTTTTATTGTGTTTCTTGCTATGTTCTGCCTTTGCTTCTGTGATACTATGCTCCTGATGTTGAGTGCTTTAATGTGAACACCAGCATGAGCAGTAGAAAGAAGGATGAAGTAAGTGCTGCACTGGGTCAAACAATGTAGAGGAATCAGAACAGGGTACAGAAGTCAAATCTGAGAAAAAACTGGGTTTTGGAAGAGGTCATCTGTGTACTGATTTTCTCTCTTTGTCCTGTGTATGTGTGTGAGGAAATAGGGAGAAGGGGTATCTAAAACAGACATGGGGGTGGGATGAAACTCTGACCTTGCAATTTCAAAATGGTCTTTCCTCTCCCTGGTGGAGTGAACACTGTCTAAAGGCTCATAAGGGAGCTGTTTCCTTCTGCTCTCTAGTTGGTCGGCCATGCTTTCATTAGTGCCCAGAGCACAAGATTCCTATTTTGCAATGACGCCCTTCTTTTATACAAATGCTGAAAATGTCCATTGAGAAATTAAAAATAAAATTCAAGGGTAACCACATATGGACATTCTGCAATGAATGGGCAGAAATGCAAAGCGCAATGTCTTGGTATGCAGACCAAAACAAAATGGCCACCATCCAAACCCTCAGCCTGCACGGCCCATTTCAATTTACAGTAATATGTGGTTTAAAGATACCACAGTACTAATAAACACAAATTGAGGTCTTGTGTGTGTATAATTACAACAGGCACTGAAGTGGAGTTTAATCAGTCAGGCTCTGTGAGCCATGACGAAGAGATGGAAGACTTGTTCCTACGCACAGGAGAGGGTGAAAAAACGAGTCATGTGTTGCTTTCTGTGAATGTTGTCGTCATAGTAAAGCTGGCTTGTTTTAACACTGGAATAAAAATAGGTGACAAAGTTGACTTTTTGCACAGAACCAGTTGAAACTGTAGTCTAAGGGACTAGTTTTTTGTGTGAAATACAATCTTTATTTAAATGATAACCAGGTCAGAAATTCTAATTCAAATATTGATTTCC